TGAAAACAGACTTGTCTTGTGGTTAATGTTCCTGCTGCCTGATTTCCATCACCTACTTTGAAGCTACTCAGTTATCCATGTATAGAGCTTTCCAATGAGTGTGGCAGACGCCTGCAGTTGGTCTTCTCTGTGTCAAAGAAGAGCCTTTTTAAAAAAAGTTTCAATTGGAATACGGTTAATCTGAATCAAGCCTAATATCAGAACTAATGCACAGGACCAATTATCCTCACTGGTTTTTTTCTGGCTGTCCCAAGGTGTATCATGAATCAGAGAATTTAAACAGTCATTAAAAAATTGTGAGCCTAATTGTGACTACCTTGCCTTTCGTTCCTGTTGCTTGCTGACTCTTGGTATATGTGATGAGCCCCCAGGAAATGCCCTGAATACCATACATTAGAGATATATTACAACATTATACAGTGTAATTGGTTTTAGACTTTTCTGAAGCTATGAAAAGTTCATAAAATAGCTTGACGTTTAAAGCTCAGGTACAGAGTCAAAGTAAGATACACTGAGATTTAGATATTGGATTTCTCTGTATACATTAAACTGATCCAGTTATTCATTGCTAATACATTCCTGGTAAGGTATTCATTATATGCAATAGTATACAAGTTTCAATCTTGATATTTCTTACGTGACTCGAGGAGATAGGTGCACATATCTCACCTCTTGTGCAAAATTCTTTTAAATTGAATGATTTCTAGGGTAAACTTTTATAAGAAACTGAAATTATTTTCTTTTACATTCCTACTTGGTCATGTACTTGGAGGTCTACAATTTATCACACCATTTATTGTAGACGCAATGTGTACCTCTCAAATTCATGTATTTAATTCTAGTCCCTAGTGTAATTGCACTTGTAAAGATGGCCTTTGTGAGGTTGATAAGTGTATCAACTAGTGCTCACTAGAGAAATAGATTTAATGAAAGATATATAAATATAAGCATTTACAAGCTTGGCTTACAATGGATGCCCACAAAGTCAGGTATGAAAAAGTGCAAAAAGGCTGTGTGTCACTAGAGATGCCAAGGACCCAGTTGAAGGTTGAAGGACTAAAGCTTACTGTAATGTTTTGTGCAAGTCCCTATCAGGAGGCCAAGGCGTCTGTGATGGATGACTGAAGGGACTTCACGAGAATCCAGGAGATGACATCCAAGATGAATGTGAAAACTCGAACTTCTCCGAAGAAACAGAATCCAGCCTTCTACATTTTCCTTTTGTTCCATTCAGGTGATCAGCCTAACCACGGTGAGTCCTCTGTCTTCCGTAAATACCCTCAGTCACACACAGAACTATGCCGATCCAATTTAGATGGACATACTGTACTCAAATTGACACAATTAGTCAACTGTCACAATGAGTTTAAAGGATTCCCTTGTAAACAGACCCCAGAGAACTCCCTTGTCATGTAGCATGAGCACATAACAAGAAGATAGACCCTGATGAATCAGTAAATAAACCTTCACCAAAAAGGTTTTCTTCTGGTGCCTCAATCTCAGAGTTACCTGCCTTCACAATGGAAAGAAATGCTTTTTTAAAAAATTTATAAGATGTTCAGTGTATAGTACTTTGTTGTATTTTGTTTTCACAGCCCTCAAATCCACTGATGGAAAGCACACAAACATCTTAATAAAGTTTATATATGTATTTCTTGACCATTTAGTTCCACTTATTTCTTTAAAAATCAAATGCATCTGTATCTCAAATGTGTCTGTGATTTTTTCTGTGTGAATGGGTACATGTTTTGTCTTTTATTAGAATCTGTTTTGTATTTTTAATTTCTTTGTATACAGACTATTTCTCCTAATTAACTTGAAACGTATTACATGAAGGGGTGTATGTGACATTTTACAAGTTCTTGATGCACAATTAAAATATTATAAATTCAAAATTCCCTTTCTCATCCAATGTAGAGTAAATAGCAGATAAAATAGAAAGCATTAAATAACTTCGGAATAGTGAATGTATCGATATATCAGAAATGGAATAAGTTACATAATGTTAAGAGAAATAGTACTTTAGTCAATAGCTGTGCTTAGATGCAGGTAGATGCGACAAGGTCCTGAATTCTGTAGGGGTGGAAACAGGACCCTTCTTATGCAGTGGAGAACTAGATAGTCTCATTGCTGATTGGGCCGTTGGTCAGAGCAGAATTTCCTGACACTGAAATTAAGGCTGAAAATGCCCAGATGTAATTATTTTGATTCATACAACGATTACAGCATTGCCTGTTATGAAGGTACAAGGAAACAAACAAATATTGCAGGTAGGGAAACCTTAGATTATTTGGAAATAGGAAATGGAATCATGACTCATTAAATTAAGCTAGAAAAAATACTCGTAGAAGTTTTAAAATAAGCATTTTTAGAATGTCTAAAGGGTTACAAAATGAATAAATTTGAACAAGAAATCATGAGCATAAGCAGATATAAAAGAAATAATGAAATATGTACATATATATGAAGAAATATGTAGATAGGCAAATAGATAGAAATTCTTAAGATAAAGCTATTATTATTGAAATACTAATTAGGATAATATTTAATTCAGACCTAGTCAAGAATAAATAAATGATTAGGACTAAAGTTTGAGAAATTCTACTGAATGTACCACAATAATTAAGAGATTTAAAACATGGACAATACATTGAAATAATTTAGTATTCATATATAAAAGTTCCAGAGGACGACAAATGAGTAAAATTCCTGAGAAATCATATTTGAAAACATAAGAATTTTATACAATTGCAAATAGATACACATTCTGAATAAAAGTCTCTAACATCAATCATAATACATACAATGAAGTTCACATTCATATACATTTTAGTAAATGTGCAATATACAAAACATTAAAGGCAAGCCTTTGTGGTTAAAAAAAAGATGCAATATCTGAAAAGAAATTTCCATTAAAAAATGGCAGACTTCTGAGCAGCAATGGTGGATGCTATAAGACCATGGAGTAACCCTTCACATTTTTCAAGGAATACACTTTAAACACAAATTTGGGGGGGTGTTACTGGGGTTCAAACTTACAACTTGGTGCTTGCCAGACAGGCTCTTCTACTGGTGAGCTAAATCCCAGGCACTAAATACACATTACATATCAAAAGAATGTACTTTTTTAGTGAAGTTTTAACCTATTTTTAGCTACTTGAAGCAAAGAGAATTTATCTCTGACTACACACTCAAACAATTGCTAAATGATGCATTTCCTTTAAAAAGTAAAATGTATAAGAAATACAAGCTATTTGTTAAATTTATAAATGCAATAAATTGGCTGAAAAATAATATAATTTTGAAAACAAAAAGTTTTAGGCAACAAAGGGTGAAATTTTCAAGGTATTTTAAACTAGCTTGTCTATAAGAGTTTATAATTAAGTGCATATGTTTAAAGATAATTGTTGAAGGAAGAGTTATAGTTTCTAAGTCAGCAAAAGAGAAAAAACAATAGTAATTTGGTGATGACAATGATGCTGAAACTAACTTTATTAATTTACAAGAATACAGGAAAGCAGGAAGAGAGAAAATTACCTACAAAGGCATGGTAAGCCCCAAAACACAAAATATGTGGTAGGCATTGACTTTATCACAAAGCATTAAAATGATTAAATTTTACTGATAAATGATTAGATTGAAATCAATCTGCCTCTACAAAATGATATAGAGAAGTTAAAAATTAAAGAATTGTGGCACTCAAATACTAAACACACAAGTGTGCTATTGCATAATAATACCAGACAAAATAGCATGTGAGGCAAAAATGCTCATTAGAAGTTATTCATTCTAATAAAATGAAGATTTTATGTAAGCAGAACAATATAAAGGTGAAGAATGTGTATAAATTTATCTCAGAAATGAATAAAGTGGAAAAATCTAATTTAAGGGAAATCCACAAAATAATAAATAAATAATAAATAAATAAATCCATAAATACTATAGATTTTGGTAAACTATTACTATATTCCATCAGGAAAAGAAAAAACAGATATAAAATTGGCAAGTTTATAGAAACATTTAACAAAATGATAATCTTTGCCATTTATATTGTTTATACATAATAACATGTAAATAAGGAAACAGATCACAAATTAGGTTTCACTTTTCCTGTTAGTGAAAGGGAAAAGTGTTGGTTTGGACATCCTAAATAAAGATGAAAATCTTAGATTATATGCTACTTTCACTGCAAAGAATTATTTTGCAAGCTTAAAATGATAGATGACAGAAGAAAAGAAAGGCTAAGTATTTTTAAGTGAACTAGATATGTTGTTTATGATATTAACATTGTAGAAATATACTTATCCAATATTTTTAATGCGTGTTTAATACTACTTTACTTTTATAAATCTAAGACATGGACATTGTCAGACAACTGGTTTTTAACTCAAGGATGCATGTAAATGAAAGTGTAACTTGGAAAACCTTGCAAACCACAACTTCTTCAGGGAAATCACAGCTTTCTCCAATCTCTCTTTTGTATAATTTAGTAAGTCATTGATCGTAACAAATCTTGGCTTTTTTCAGTATGTGCTTCATTCTTCTTCAGCCGGCTACTATGAAGTTCTATTTCTTCAACGACTATGTTTATGATAAATAAGTGGGCAGGGCAAAGGGGTGGGAGGGAGAAATGTAGTAGTAAAAAAGTGCTTGCATATGTGTGGGATATGCTATATTATTAGCAAATGCAAGTTAAAATGAACTCTATAATGACTGAATATAATACAGTCTCCTTATACTTATGAGGCAGGAGATTAAGGCATGACAAACTGGCTGTGCAGGAGGACATGACCTGTCAGTTATAGTCAGGACACTGGACTGCAAGCCCTGCACCTGACACGTATCAGAAGATGGTTTAACTCTGATGTCAGAATAAGGGTAGGAAAGACTGCAGCCAGTCAAGCGCCTAGCAGCTGTGAACCTTTTCAGCCCTCCACCCTGTATTTCACAGGGGCACTGCTTTTCACGCTTTAGGTGGCTCACAATCTGCAGAGCACAGCGTTTACTAAATGTAAAACCTCTTATGTTCTTCATTTGCTTTTCCCAATTTTTTGAACAAGACAAGAGTCTGGAAGGGACCTTAGGGCACTCATAATCTGTAATTGTTTTGCTTTGACAAGCAGGAAAAGAATATGGGATTCTGTCTGGCTGAGAAAAGCAAAGATTGTAAGGTAAAATCTCAAACACTTTACTACACTATTCCAGTATTTGAGTATCAGATATACTATGTTATTTCTTTTCTTTTTTTACACTATTTTTTTTCCTAAGAACTGTTTTCATCATTAAAACTGACCAAAGAAAATAGTGGTAATGATATTAGTTGGAAAAGTTGTCATTTATGTTATATAAGAAATTATACCAAAGCATTTAGCAGCATATTTTCATCTACATTTCCATTTTAAAATGAAGAAATTCTGCCAGGGAGAGGTACTGATAATTGAGAATTTCATTGAATTCAATGCAGTCTAGAAAAATTACATTGAATTTTGTGACTTTGATTTTCTTTTTCTTGGCTTCTAGCCCATGTTTTATGAATTTTTGAAATTATATAAAAACACTAAACCCTCTAGAGTATTTCAGGAAATGCTATATGATTCTTAGAACAAAGCAAAGATGGTTTCCAGGGTAAATGTTTCTTTTACAATGTCGAAAATTATCATTTGGTTGGGACTGAAAGATAACTACGAACTCAGTGCAAATATCCTTGAACAAACATTAATCGAAAATTCAAAGCCTTTTCCAATAATGAAATTAGAACACCTTGATTAATCAAAATTAAGGTCCATTTTTAAAACACTATTTTCATTAATTCAAAATTAGGCTTCTTAATTAAAAATACTCATTAGCATCTTTGTTAATAACTTCTTTAAATGACAATGGTATGAATTGCCTATTTAGTAATTAATAATTTTATAATTATTTAGAAAAGTGAAAAAAACTACTGGGAGAATAAAACACAACTGAGAAAAAAAACAAAAAAAAAATTGTATCATCAAAAACCTTAACATGATTTTCTGAAAACTTTGGACATTTTAACTTTTACATTAACATTGTAATGTAATAGTCAACAATACAAAATTGATACTGTGAAGTTGACTTCCACATTTTCTTCTCAGCATGATTTTGTTGGTGATGTGTCTTTCTAAAATGAGCTTGTATTGCATGAACAAAACAATACTCCATACACAAAAAGGAAAAAAAGCATTATATGTTTATAATAAAACTAGAGGAAAATTGACAAGATATCAAACAAATTAGGACCAGAAATGATTTGTGTGAAAAAAATTCACAACAAAAAATAGTAATGAGAGATATATGCCTACATATACGATATACACCTATATATGCACATACGTGGTTTTCTGTATATATTTCCTCATGCAGAAAACAAGACTTGCACTTGAATAAAACAGAGCTAGTCTAGGACTGACTATTTTAAGAATCATGGCTACTAGTAACTGAGTACTCCATAGGTGCCAGACATTGACTTTGATACTTGCTATGATGTTTTCTTCTATTTTTCATATTGTTCCCAGAATTATTCATGTTGGATTTAAGAATTAGATTTCACGCATATTCACAAATTAGTAATGCTTTATATGCTGTCCTATATTTCTGATCAATTTGGGTTTGTAAGTATTTTCTACATCATTGAACTGTACTTTAAATACTTTATAGAGATAACGATTATGCAATTATAAATTATGTAAATTCACATTATGTGCAACTCATCCCCAAATTATCATTAACATTTATTTGTTAAAACTTCTCTAAATATATACATAATATACAAGGAGATAAAAATGTGTCAGGGCCTGAATAAATATTGTCACACAGGATTAAAAAATAATCACAATTATTGAATCATTTTACTTATAAATATTTTTCCCAAAGAGAAAGCTTTTAAGGATTTTAGCTCCCAGACAAATGAAATACAATTACTCATGGCCAGCTTTTATTTATTTTTTTTTTTAGAGTGGTCATCTTCCTTCCATGGCCACTAAATCAGCAGTTTTGCAAACAATTCTGTTATTTCCAACTACCCATTTTCTAACCTATGACAGCTATGCTTGGACAAGGTAAGATCATCAGTGCACATATTAGAATTGGAAAACGTGTAGCAACATCTTTCTCATAGGAGCTCCAAGCCTGTGAATCAAGTGTGCCAGAGATCTAGGTTGACTGTTCATTTTAAGCAGCCTGAAACTATTCCCCTGACTCTATATTTGTGGAAAAACTATCTTATACAAAATCAGTCTTTGGTGTCAGAAAATTTGAGGTCCTCTGCCTTATGTTACCAGTTAGCTGCCAGAACATCAAACATTGCCACTGTTACTGAATTTATCCCCACTGCATCAATTCACTTTGATTTCAGAAAGTCCTAAGATACTAAAGTTAGGACAAGTGGACGCTGACAGGATTTAAGAGGTGACAAAATGTGGACCTAGTAGATCTGGTGTCACTTTTTACAAAAGAACAACGGGTGATTCTCTAAGTATGATGTGGGAGGGACTTACTTTCCGTATAATTATATCTTCTGGAGTATTTACCAAAAAATCCTGATTTCAAATATCAAACACTATAAATACCTCTACTCTATACTCAGAGACAGTTAATTTTTGTAATGCATAGAAAAGTACTATGAAAGAATTATGTTTCTTTTAAAATGTATTTTATAGCAACTGAATTTAAATGTAATCAAATAAGAAAATATCAGTTGGATATCTACCTCTGTCTTGCATAATTATATTGTTTTATCATCTGTATTTTATAATTGTTACCAAGCAGCTTTTCAATCCTATGATTAGCTTTCTGGAAAATGATAGGTGTTTTGTAATCTCAGGTGTTCTTGATAGGTACTTTGCTGCTGCTAAAATTTGGGCTTCTCGAAAAATGGGTATTCTCACTGCATTTGATTTTTAAAACATTCTGACCTGCTGTGTTAAAAGCATTTTAACTCATGGAAATCCAATTGTTGAACATTAATAATTGTAGTAGTTTATGAGTACTTCATTGGTATAATAGCTAAATCTATATCTAAGTTACCATGCATCCACTTTCCTCCTCTCATCACTTTGAATAAGATAACAAAAGTTACTTGACAATAACTTCAAAGGAAAAAGAATTCAGTGTCACTGCACTTAAATGCACTGCCAATAATGCATTCATAAAGGGAATGAGTTCTCTGTGGAAGTGGTCCTATTAAACTCTAAATGCATCCTACTTTTTTCTCAGCCTTCCCCTTATTTTTCCTTTTTTGAAATCAGTTACCACAAGGAGAAAAATTGAATTCAAAAATATTATTTTAAAATCATATTTACAAATAAAAACATTTTTACATCTGTATCATATACAAGTTGTGCTGCATGTATAATTTCGTATGTAATACATAATTTGGTCAGTGGGGGATATATCTTTGTCCTTCAGTGCCCTTGTTCATAAATTTCCTGAGATTGGCACTTCTTTTCCCTCATATAGCCTACTGATAATGATAACCTAGTCTTTCCATAATGAGAATGTACTTCACACTTTTTAGTACACTCTAGACCATCATACCTATTGTCTGAAAGTTTATGATTGTCATCTCATTAATATTTGTAACAATCGTTAAAGCAATTACTGTAAATATCTTTAAGATTATGTAGCAGAGGCACAGATATCTTGCATCTACTCTCAGCCTTAAAAGGTTGATGAACAAATGAAGGGTGCCAGACCTCTTTCTGTATATCTTTCACTACTGCATCATAAGCCTGCTCTCTAGTCACATTCCCACTGATTTCTCCTGGAATTACTTTATGTAAAGGACAAATTATTTAATCTGGAGACTAGATTACATTGCTGTGTAATGATCTCTGGTGCTCCATATCCCAATGTAAATACAAACAGCTATAAGCTGAGTCTGTGTAGCTTTTTTAGCACTACACTGTTTCAGTGGGCAAAGGTAGATGTACAACACTTGGGAAATGACAGTCCTTTGCCTAGAAAAATCTAGATTGTACTTTGTAGATCTAGGATCTTCTCTACAAGACCTTCTTGCGTCTATCAACCACATTTTTACTTCAATTTTATATAGACTTTAGTTATTTGCACTAGCTTTCAGGTCACCAGATCAATTACTACTCTTGTATGTGTTTAACTGTTGTGGTCAACTATCCCTATTGATGGTGGCTTATTTTGGTGTGATCCATTTGCCTGTGATGACACTTACCTTCAGCAGTTGGGTTTTAGATTCAGTCTTGCCTTCAGAATAGTCTGATGCCATAAATAATGTTCCTTTTAGACATAATATCCATTTAAAGTTTTTCCTAATTGTGTACACTTTGTGTATACTCTATGCATTGGTGTAGCATACTTAGAAAGTAAGAACAAAGTTCAAATTTAGCAATATTTCCTTTTATAGAAATTCCAGATTCCTTATGAGCTCCTGAGTTGTCCAGTTTCATGTTTTTTTTTCTATAGCTACTAAACATTTATAGTTTTCTAGTGATTTTGAAAAGAAATCTAGAGATTAATTTTTGTAACAGAATGTGGATTTCTGAATACATCAGTTCATTGTTGATATCACTTCTTTGGTAAAACTATGACTATTTGTAGGCAGAATATAGATGTTTCAAGAAAACAGCTTAACAGGAAAATAGTTGTCTAGAATCACCAGTGTATGATTCTTGTTTCTCTAGTGAGGAGAATGTATTTCTTTTCACAAAGCTCAATTTCATCATTTAAAGGTAAGGTCCAACCTAGGAAACAAAAACAATTTTTCTTATAATGGAATGATTTACTGATTCAAATTCTCTAACTGATCACAATAGGAAACAGTATCTATCCACTTAAATATATAATTAATATTGAAAGATCTTTATCAAAACCAGAAGTACTTTTATATTAAACTTGGCTAGGTTTCATAGTTTATGCTTACAGCTACCACTACTCAAAAAGACATAGAAAGCTGTAAAACAACTACAGGTGCACTAAGACTCTCATTATTATCAATTTGAAATAGACTGAAGAAAATTATCTTCTTAAATTAGTTTCTCAGTTTAGTATCTTTGTCTGTACCCCCAGGGAAGTCCATGTTTGATAAGAGTAAACTTCCACCTAATTTTTAGTCCTAAGAAGTTCAGATGTCTTGTGGAAAGATACTGAGAGCACAAGCCACAAAAGCAGTATTAGAACTATATTGTCCTTTTGCAGATGGGAACTTTTGCATGTTAAATAGAAAACTTTGACATTTTTGGTTGGCCATGGTCACTGCATTACAATTTTGACTAAATAAAGTAATATACATAGTTTCTGTTATCAAATTTGACCTCCGGATTACCTAACCACGCAAGTGACTTGGCCTCACAGCAGGCCCCACGGTCAGGCCCTAGGGAAACCACAAAATGATAGAAACCATTGGCTCAGACATCTCAGAGTTGGCCTCTGATGCAGGACTGGAATCTTCAGTGGTGAGTAGGTTAGGGCATACAGGAACAGCAAATGTGTTCTCCATTGCTGTTAGTTTCACACTAACACGTGGTAATTCCATCACTATGTTTTCTTTACACATTAATCCTAAATCTCTCTCTTCAGGCCACCAGGCTCTCTAGAGTGTAGGAAATAATGCATCCTTCCCTCTGGAACTTCCTGGATGCTGGGCGTTGCCCCGCCCAAGGCAACCTGGCGCGCTCCACTCAGCAGCCGAGTTCTGCACAGACTCAGTATCGCCTTCCGGTGGCCCAGGCCGTCCTCAGTGCCCGCCCACTCACCCGCCATGTCGAGTCCCAGTGGCCGCAAGTTCAAGACTGGGGACTTGGTGTTTGCTAAGGTGAAGGGCTATGCCCCCTGGCCTGCTAGAGTCGAGCAGATAGCCCAACCCAACCGGTACCAGGTGTTCTTCTTCGGGACCTATGAGACGGCCGTCCTGAGCCCCAAGCGCCTCTACCCCTACGAGGAGTGCAAGGAGAGGTTCGCCAAGGCCAGCAAGCGCAAGGGCTTCAGCGCAGGGCTGTGGGAGATTGAGAACGATCCCACGGTGAAGGCCAAGCTTCTGTTTCCTGAGGCAGCGGTAGCTGCGGCGGAGAAGGTGGCAGGCTGCGCCAACGGCTGTGACTCCGACCCCGAGCGTAACCCAGATCCTGATCTTGAGCCTGAGCTGGAGCCTGAGCCCACTGAGGGGCCGCAGAAGGCACTGGTGAAGGAGGGCATGGAGGACTGGCTCGGGGACATCTCCAAACGGTCCAAGGCCACCATGCTGGATGGCCCGGGGGAAGCAGAGGAATCTGAAAAGGAAGAGGAAAAGGATGAGGCGGCCATGGAAGAGCCTGAAGAGCAGGCCGGGAAGCCCAAGGCCCCAGGTGGCCTGTAGTCTCTGCCTCACAGAAAGAGCCCCGCACCGTCCCTGCTACATCTAGCTGCGAAGGGAGAAACCCTTCTTGACCTACACCGTGGGATCTCTTCTCCTACCTCCTCTACTGTTCCCACCTTCACTCATTCTCTCCCCATGTCTGGCCCTGAGGCATGGGGCAAGCCATTTGATGGGACAAGCTCTCTGATGGGACAGACTGCTTAATGGTACAGGACAGACCACCTGGAAAGGACACATGAACTGGAATGGATAGACAGCTAATGGGACAGGCCATGTAGAAAAGACTGGTTACCTAGAAGGACAGGCCACCTGAAACAGACCAGCTGCACTGGACAGACTGCTTGGATGGGAAAAGTCACCTAGATCTCACCTGCCTCATCTCTCTTCCTGTGATCTGAGACGCGGCCATCATGCCTCTTGGGATCCAAAAATGCTTTTCAATGGTGCTGTTAAAGCAGGACAGGCTCTTTCCACCTCCTAATACCGCATTTCTTCTGCTGGAGGCATCCTGCTCTACTGCCTTGAAATGATCCAGAAGAGAAACGGAAGATAAAGAGCAGAGGTGATTTCCAGCAACCTTCGAGGGTCAGTCGTCAAACTGCAGGGCTAAGGGAGTGGGAGGGTGACATCTAACTGCTGCATTCCTCCTGTCCTTTCCATCAAAACCTGCTCAATTTTAAGATTTAGGAAAAGTAGAATAGCTATTAAGAGAGGGCCTTCCCTTACTAATCCTTATCCCCTTCATGGAGTTCTGGGAGTTGTCACTTTTTTCGTGAGACCATTTGTGGCATCAGAGTACTTTTAAGATCTGAAGGGGTTACTTTGCCAGTGAGGGAGATGCCTGGATTGGGTGGGGTGAGTAAGAACAGTCTCCATCCAGATACCTGAGGCTGCCCGTGAGAGTCCCTTGGAAAACCTTTGTCTGCACATTTCTATCTCTGCAGGCTCAAGGCCACCATAGTTATGTACCGCGCATATGTAAAAGGGAAGGCACAGATGTTAGACAACCTTTTAAATAGAAGATTTTAGAAAATTAAGGATTAACTTTGGGTATGCTGCTATTCTGCTACCGTCTGTCTTGTTGATGTACCTGCGGAGGTTGCCTTACTGGGGGTTCAGTGAGCTTGTTCTAGAAGCCAGAATTTGGGTATTCTGTGAACTATTAATTTCTGTCCAAATGCTCCACCTGGTCTCTTCTGTATGGCCACCAGATCCCATAAGTAATCTGAGACTGAAAATAACTGTCCCCTCCCAAACTCTTTCTCCTGGGCTCTCTGTTCCTCTCTTCAACTCTTCTGGTTTTCACCCTTGCCCTCCTCCCTTGGGCTCTTATAAAAATGGTTGATTGAAACTATTTCACTTCTACTAAATAAACATCGTTGATCGCTTTGAAAACAAATATCTCAAGTCTGTTTCTTGGATTCTAAGGATTGGTTCTTAGATTTAGTACTCATTTTGTTTACTGTACATAGCTGTGAAAAGTAGTATATACTGTGAAAAGTAGTATATACTGTATAGGAGTATATTGGAATCAGCCTTAAGAGATCTTTGTCATCTTAAAGTGTAGGTAAGGGTAGTCTTTCACTCCACCAGTCATTACTACTGATTTGAATGAATGGACATGAGCTTATTTGAAATGTTTGGATGATAACAAGCTGAAACATTAATATTCTGCCAAATGACTGATATTCAGAAAAGTGAGTGAGAAAATTGTTTAGTCACCCTCTCCCTTTTTGGGCAGTTGCCTAAGATAACACTGTTTCTTTTAACAGCCTTTCCAATGAAAATAAGATAGCTGGTTTATATTCCCATTTTAAAAAATATGCAGTATCTGTAGAATATTTTGCGTCCTTTTAGTGATTTTGTGCAAATATTGGGATCTTCAAATATCCTTAATCATGGGCCTGGGAATTTAGCTCAGCGGCATAGATGCCTGCCTGGCAAGTGTGAGGTCATGAATTCATCACCAGTACTGCAAAAAATGAAAAGCCAAACAAACAAACAAACAAACAAAAATATGCTTAATCATATATTGCAGTGTCTGGTTCTATGTTAATCAACCCTGTATCCATAGAGAGACATCTTCACTGAGCAAGATATACCCTTTGTAATGGTGGAAACTGAAGACAACCCTATTTTCCATTCCTGTGGAAAAAATGCTATGCTTAGACTTAAAGGTTTCTAAGTTAATCTCTTGTTTTCCAACAACTTCTATTTGCAATAGTATTAATACTAGAAGTTACTGTTTATTGGTTACCTAATATGTGCCCTGATGAAAAAAGCTTCTATTTTAATAATAATATGGAAAGGATGTTACTCAAATTTTCCAAAGAAAGCAGCTCTGGTTCAGGTGGATGCTTTTCAGCATTCCACACAACATTAAGGATTGAAATATTTTACTGGTCTAAATAGGCTAAGCTCTTTTCTCCTGCATTGTACACTCAACAAGCACTATGAATTCAGAAGTGAATAAAGTAGCTATTTTAGTATTAATACGTAATTATAACAATAGCTAATATTGAGTTTGTAGCAAGAACCATGCAATATGTGAACATTCAATCAGGTGTACTGTAAAAGACTCACTGTCAGTTTACGAAGGAATCTGACTGATGAGTAAGTCTCCTGGAATGGAACTTGCTCGTGAATCAGAGGTACTGTTTTTTACACTGTAGTCATTATTAGTACAATTAATCAGTTAGATAGCTTATATTGAAGTCCAAGAATGTTGAATAATTTTCCCAAGGTCATACAATTTATAAATGACAAACCCAACTTTCAGAGGTAAGACTTTCTCATTCTAAATCATAGCTGCTTTGCTCCATTATATTTTACAGTTTCTCATTGAATTCAACTTCCTGTTGAATGGAATGGAAGTATTCTTTACTATTTTGAAGTGCACATTTAGGAATTTCAAGGTAAAGACAGTATTAGCAGACATTGCTTAAGGGTGTATAAAAAACATTTTAGTACCTGACAATTGTTTTGTTTTTAAATGACTTGGTGAAATGATGAGGGAAATTGCACATTCATTATTTTTCAAGATATGGCTATAGGAAGTTTGGATATGGATTGGTATATTTGCCACAGGCGGGTATTTGATTTTGATAAGGTTTTTATGGAAGCACATCTTCTGAAATGATTCAATAACCTGAAAAATAGAAAATGAAATTACTTCCATTTGAGTCTCTTTCTATTGTTTCTTACTCTTTTTTTGATTCAAATGTTAGAAAAAGCTGTTTATTTAGATGTGACACTGCATTTGCCCTCTTGGTTACTATAATGTAGTGAAAATAGCACTCTTAAAGAATGATACACTATTAGTAAACATAATTATGGCCCAATAAAGAATGAAAAAGATGGGGCAAAAATCTGTAGTTTTAGCTCTCTTTTCTTGGGCGATAAATCTCATTTGTATGCTTTAGTGGCCAAAAGATTCTTTTTGTGTGGACTGAAAAAGAAGCTGCTACAAATTTTCAATAATTCCAGCACTGTTACTCTGAACAATGCATGGCTCAGTGACAAAATTACTGATCCTTGTTGAGTTACCTTAACAAAGTCGTCCCCTTGACCATCAGTGATGCACTGATGTTATTAGCCAAACATGTTTGTGAATGTTCCGACAGTATTGTTTAAGCACTACATGTCAATGCAGGCAAATTACATCATCCATGCTGTGCAAACATATGTAACATACTATTTTTTGTGAGACTTTCAAAGTACTTAATATTTCACACCATTTCTTTAGCAGAGTTAACTAAAGATGGCATTGAGAAATACAAATTTTATTATTTTCCTCTGTCAGAATTTAGATTTCGCCCAGTCTGCAAAATTTCATCCAGCGTATATAATCTTTGTGGCTCATACCTTCATTTTACCTTTCCACCAAGTCTTAGATATTTGGATTGTGCAGGGCATTCTTCTGTTTATTTCATTTTCAATGCTTGAGTCAAGCTTTTGCTACACATTCTTTGGATGCATGCAGACACCTCTTCGGAGCTGCTCAAGCTAAGAGCTTCTTAGTGGTTCTTGCACAACTATATTCGCACTGATCATATTCTAATTTCCTGTGTATTCTTTGCTTTTCCACTAAACTGGAAGTGATAGGAAATGTGTTTTATTAATATTTTACTCCCAACCATAAACACACAATAGTTATTTTTTAAAGGGTGGAAAGTCTGTTATCAAGTGTTCCTTGTGATCATGGTGCTGCAATATAACTAATAATGTGAGGTAGACTGCATGCTGACTCTGAACAAAGAGACAGGATAAACAGACCTGTAGATTAATGGTAAATTCTGATTGGGATATGCTTCTGTGTCCATGCAGGCAGCTCCCTATATTAGGTGACTGAAAACTACCAGCAGTTTTCACTGAACAATTTCCTTCCTGATGCCAGGGCCAAGATACTTATTTTTTTATAGATTTTTCTCACTATTTGAATCACTTTTCTCAGCTACAACACATAGGTACCATAATGCCTGTATGTCCATTTCCGTCTCCCCGAGTAGGTAAAATGACATCTAATTGCTACATTTTTGAAACTCAAGCCACATATTGACCATTCAGTCAAAAACACAGTAAGGGTGAATAGGCCAAAGAGAACATGTATCTGTTATTCCCGCCACTTCTTGTGGTGCAGACACATGGCTTGTTGTAAGAATCCCTGAGAATTAAATGTTTAAAGGAATAGTATTTACTCACTACAGATATGGCTGGTCCCAGTCTCGCAAATCACCTGCCTGCCTTGTATATAAATAGATATCTTTTCCCCTGTGGGTGAAAAAAATTGACCATATTAGTGAGATATCTGCAATTGAGAGATTCTAAGCGATTTTCTAAAGCAGGAATTTTATTGTGTAGTCTAATTTTATATGTAAACTTTAACTTCAGTGAAATGAATGTGCTATCATAATATAGAAATGATCCTGGCAAGAGTCCTGGATGGTGAGATGCAGCTAGGAATCAAAGGCAGTCCTAGTCACAAAATGGCCAAGTCTTCATGGGTGTTATGGTTTGAGAACTGGTGGTCAACTTAATGCCAGCTGGATTACATCAGCATGCATTGAGAGAAGATGTTCCACCTAAGGAGGGTTGCCAGGATAAATAGGTGGAGAAGAAGAGAGGTGTTGGGAAGGGATTGAGGAATTAAGGAGGCCTTGTGGGTTCTCCTACGAGCTGCTGTCTGAGCTGTTGGTTCTCCTGGAGAAGCTTTGATCTTCACATCAAGCATTGCTTCCTGGCTCCAGAGGGGAAGACATGTGCTCTTGGTCTCCAGGATGAACTCCTCACGCTGCTTCCTGGCACACACCCGACTGTGCTTGTCCTCGGAGGAGCTCGGGCTTCCGTGTCTCTGAGGACAGCTGTGGTGCCTTTCAGGACAGCCCTGCTCTTTGTTGTGAATGTGACTTCCCAGCTCCAATGTAGAACCCTCATCCCAGTAGCACAGCTCCTTCATCCTGCTGGCATAGACTTTCTGGCTTCCACCACTGACCCTTGGGTCTTCCCGGCATAAATCCATAAAAGAGACTGGTGTGAGTCCTTCTTGTGGGCTCTGGACTTCCAGTTGGACTTGTGGAAGCATTGTCCTGAGCTCTGGGTTTTTATCTGGACTCATGTGGGACATTGCCGTGGGGTTTAGACTCTTGACTAAATAATCTATGTCTTTGGTGTTGTGGATAAATTTCCTGCATTTTCTGGTGTTAACTCCTGGTGACCATTATAAAAATATTATAAACTCCATGTCCTGATCTGAATTGTTCTCTATGTACAACCCCAGACTACAACAATGGGCAAAAACCAAATTTCATCTATTTCACCTTCCTGATTAATGTGAGCATTGCCTAAGAATTATGGGTCATTTGGTGAATGGGTCCTTTGTTTTTATCACTCCAAGATGAGAATCTTTTGCTTAGCTCTATTCCTTTCTTCCTCCTCATGAAACTTCCTCTAAATTGCTCCTACACGATTAGGTAGCTCTCCACTGTGTTTTCCTAAGACCCTATTTTTCTCCTAACATTGTTGAGTCTCATAATTATCAATTTATTGATTTTTTAATCAACTAATAAGTCATACATTCCATGTAATCAGGAACTATGATCATTTTGCTGATTGTAAAAATCTAGCAAAGTTCCTTGTTCTTATGAAGCAGTAAATAAATGATTATTAATTAGTAAATGAACAAATGACTACATCCTGTTGTTTATCCAACCCAACCCTCAGTAAAATCTTGGGGAATTTTATTATCCCTAGTAAAGCACAGTAGGGAGTTTAAGGATTTTTTAAAAATACAAAGGTATATTATTTATTAAACAAAATTCTTTCATTATTATACATTTGTTTATTTCACGCAGATGACAAATGAGCAAGAATGAAGCTCAATG